CTGAGAGAACTCACTGCAGGACTGTTCAGCCTGGGGAAAAGAAGGATCTGGGGAGAGCTCAGAGCAACTTTGAGGTGTCTATGGGTGGATATAAGAAACAAGGGAACAGACTGTTGGTCTGTTGTGATAGGACAAGGGGAAATTGTTTCAAATAAAAGAGGGGAGATTTAAACTGGATGTGAGGAAAAAGCTTTTTTATAAGCTATCCTTATATAGTAAGGATAGTCAGGCACTGGAAGAATTGCCCAGAGAGGTGGTGGATGCTCCATCCCTGCAGACGCTTAAGGTCAGGCTGGACAGGGCTCTGAGCACCTGATGGAGCTGTGGGTGTCCCTGTTCATTGCTGGGGAGTTCAACCAGATGGCCTTTGGAAGGGTCCCTTCCAACTCTAAAGATTCTGATTCTGTGATTAAATGGAAGAAATCAGTGTCAGTGTATGAATTTGGAGAATGTGTTGCTGGATAGTGAGGATGTTTTATTTGGAATCAGTGACCTGAGCTCCCAACACAGCCAATTAAGTCATCTACACTCAAACCCTTGTATTAAAAAACAAAGAAAACAGCTTGAACACATAGTCCACTCTAGACTGTCATTTGCTTCAGGGAGCAGGGTATCCCTTGATATTTGCCAAGAAATGTGACTCATTTTAGGATCGTAAGAGGTTCAGTGTACAGGAAGAAGAGCACATGCATAGACACACAAACAAGTATTTCCACTCAGGCTTTACAGGGCATCTAATTCTCATGGGCATTGACTCAGAAGCTTGACTTAATAACACAGATGGCTGGAAAGCCCATACATCCTCTGCCTACTGTTGCAGTGTGATTTGCCTATTTTTGTGCATGAGATACTAACCAGTCCTTGCTTAGCAAAGTCATGAATGCTGTCAGAAGAACTCCTCAGGCGTAAATGGAAAAGCTACAGATGTAATGAAATAATTTGTCAGTGTGGATGGGGATAAGAGGTTGTAGGAAGTTTTGTTTGCTGTTTAGAAGAACTCAACTTACTTTTACTACCCCCTGGCTTGAAAGGATAGGAAAAACTAGAAGGCACAAAAGGGAAATAAAATACATTGCTTGCTCATTAGCAGAAAGAAACAACTCAGAAAGCTGTCCAACAGATGCTCTCCAAACCACTTGTAGTTCTGAAGAGACCAGAAAGGAGCATGCGATTTCTCTTTTGGAAATTTGTACCCAGATGACAGACGTGCACTTGCACAAAGCCAGACAAAATAAATCATTTTTTTTTTAATTAAAATATTAATGATCTTGCAGTGATTTTGTAACAGTTTTTTTTTTTTTCCTTTGTGCTGAAGGAGGCCAGAAAGTTTTTCATCCATCACAACTCTTTCTTTTCTAAATAGCAGACAATAGGAGAATATAAAATTAACCATTTCTCCACCTGTGTCTCGAACTCAGAAGGCTGGGCAGATATCTGATGGGTAGCTTCCAGCTGAAGAGTACAGCTTCATCAAAACTGATAATGCAGAGTGTGGAAACCTGAAAAGAATGGGTTTCCTGGATAGCATGGCTCCTCCACTTCTTGGCATCTTCCTTGGCTACTCATTGATAAATAAGGTATCTGAAGGGACATTTCTCAGGCTGTGAAATGCCCCCACTCAACAGATATCCTTAGAGCATGCATCAGTTTTCTGAGCAACACAATTCAGTAAATAACTCTCTCAAGATTGATTGTAATAAGAAAGCTTGAGTTTTGCAAAGGAAAAATTATAACCTGCTCCATATAAAATTTAGAACGGGCGATTTTGACCCAAACCAAATTTGATATTAGGAACAATTTCTTCTCAGAAAGAGTGGTAATGCAGTGGCACAGGCTGCCCCGGGAGATGGTGCAGTCACCATCCCTGGAGGTGTTTAAGAACAGTAGAGATGTGGCACTGTGTGACGTGGTCAGTGGGCACAGTGGGGTTGGGTTGGGGTTGCATGTGATGGTTCGGGTCTCTTCCAACCCAAATTATTCTATGAAAAACAGAAGGCAAACATCAATTCCTGCTTTTTTAGGCAGGAAATCTCATACTTGTCTCTGCTTCCACAAAGCATGGAGATAATTGTGTCAGGTGTCCCAAGAACTGTTGCTTCCTTCTGCTGTCTAAGGCTGAAGAGCTACTCCTTGTCACTATAACATTGAACATCCCTTCCACAGTAGGAAAAAAGCATCTCCTTCACAACAAGGCTTCCCATCAAAATTTGTAGGCTTGATTGTCTGAGAATATGTTGTTCCTTATGGCTGACTTGCTGCTAAAAGTGTTCACAGATACAAAGAGCCCAATAAAAGTATTTGATACAGCAAATTCTCAGCTACAAAGCATTATTCTTCAACTCAGCCACTACCATTATCTATGAACTGTTGCCAGCAATGAACAAGAGACTGCACGCCAACTTGTAAAATCTGCATGGTTGTCTAGAATGTGGCTTGTCTTTCACATTGCTGTCATCAGTGTCTGACTGTGCTCACACCCACTGTTTGGTCTCTATAAACATTCAGCAAGCATCAATGAATTTCAGTGAGTGCCATTTTTTCCTCATGGGGGAATTCAATGACATTCTTTTGCTTCATATGCACTTCTATGTCAGACATTATTTTGTCAATACCTCTCTACTGTTGTCTGTCACATGGCAACAAAATTTAATGGGATGTTGGTGGGAAGGTTCAATCTCTACTGCCATATTACCAACATCTACCTCTGACATTGTGGTCTTTCCCTGGACTGGGCTACAATCCTATTCAGGACAAAGGCTGAGGATCTTCCTGTACTCTCTGAGGAACCAAATGAAAGATTTCATTCAGTGCACCCAGCACACCCAGCAAGCTGGAGCAGCCTCACAAAGAGAGCTTGTTCCCATCTCACCACCAGCTCTGCAGGTTTCAGGCCATCACCTCTGAGCTGAAATGGACTGAGCACTTTGGGGAAAGCTTTACCCCCAGGGGAAAAAGCAGCTCAGAGAACGTGAGGCTGCTCATGAGAGTCCCTCACATGCTTCCCACACGCTCAGTCCAACAAGTTGGATGGAGATCAACAAAGCTTTATGAGGGCAAGATGATACTTGCTGGCGTGCGGTACCAGGGAACAGGTTACAAGCTCAGCAACTGCAAAATAAACAAACAAACAAATAAATAAATATGATTAAAGAAAAAAAGAAAAAAACATCAGAAATTATCTCATCCTTCCCCTATCTGACTCAGCAAGGATCTCTCACGGCTATCGATAAGCAGACTCTGGCTTCTGACATCCTGTTTTGCACCCTGCCTGGTATCAGGTGGGGGCTGATTGCTCCAGTCTGATCTCCGGAATAGAAAGTAAACAAAAATGAATAAATAAACACGCCAATTAATTAATTAGTGATGGTAATTGAAATGGAGACTAAAAATCATGAAAATAAAAGATAGAACCAATTATTACTTACAAAGAAGGCTTTATCTGGCAGCGAAAGTCGCAGTCTCGAGGGTCCCTCCAGATGTGCAGTTGATGCTGCTCTATCCTGCAGTACGCCCAGCTTCAGGCCCTTTCCCACAGGCTCTAAAAGAAATCTGAAAAGCAACAGGCTCCTGCTACAGCCAGACTCCTCCAGCTGTTGTGGATCCAGGACGGTCCATCAAAGCTGCCTCGATGGATGCCAGCAGAGGATCTGGCCCACTCATTTACATTCACGACTCCGTGGCGCAGCTGGCAGCTGTGAAAGGGCTCATTTGGAAGGCAGCGTGGCTGGGATCAACATCACTTAAGTGATAATCTGCTAATCAGGGCTTCTTCTGTCGGGAGTAATGCTCCCACCTCGTCTTTCCCTGCTGGCAGTTTTCTCCCACAAAGCTTGCCAAATCATTTTAGCTCCTGGCTGTTTTGGAGGGGTTTTCCTTGCTCACCTCCCAACTGGAGTTTGCCCTTGGTTCTGGCCCTGCATTGGATGACAACACACACACACAGAAAAAGAAGAAAGATCGATTCAAGCCCAGGTGTGCTGCTAGGGACATCCAGTCTGCCATGTGACTGGCAGGAATGGAGAGAGAGGTCTGGGGTTTTTTAGGAGCAAAAAAAGATCTTGTGCATATGGAGAAAAGTGAGGAGGTTTGAGGCACTCACTTCTCCTTTAGGACAGGAATGCTGTTGCTCGTTGCTCTGCAGATTATCACTGAAACAGCTAAGCTGTGGAGAGCCACAGGCAGAGCAACCATATATGAAAAGTGCTGTGAAATTTTCCAGGTTGCTGTTTTGAAAGAAGGAGCTAATAAATAACAAAAGTCCCTCACTAGGAAGAGAAAAATAGAGAATAAGCCAGAAATGGCACCAGTTGCTGCTCTGCAGGGAAAAGCCCAGGGCTCTGATCTCAATTCCACTTGGTTTATCTGGGTCCAAAGCATCAGCCTACAGCAAGGAGAATAACAGAGGTGGGATAAGGCAAGAGCACATGTTGCTTTGTAGAGCCTGTCTGCCCCACCTTATCTGTATGAAAACACAACCAAATGGATGCCAAGCCTATTGCTGATGAGGATTGTCCTTCACCTACTTGCATACCCTGAGCTCCTTTTGTACAGCTTGTTTCAGCTAAAGGTCACTGTATGAAGCCACTGACAATTGTGTTCTACTGCTGACTTTGTTAGCCCATCTGGCCTGCTTCAGATGCAAAATGCCTTTGGGTTCACAAGTCACCTCCTACAGTCCTTTGTCTACCTTAACCCAAGACCTCAACCCCACATGCCTCATCTCTCTCTTTTCCCAAACCATTTACAGCTCTGTGATCTTTCTGACACATTCTCTGCATCTTCTCATGTAGGGCACCCAGCCCCACCGTGTTGACTTTGCCCCATTTACTGAATCACCTTGTAAACCATCCTGCAGGGCATTAGAGGAGTTGACCACATCTATGACCCCATCTATGACCACATATCATAAGCATTTCTGTGTACTTAAAGAAGTAAAGAGCCTTTGCAGAGAAATGTAATTAAAATTTTATTCATTTATTTATTTTTGAATTTATCCTGTACAGAAAAATCTATTTATTACTATTTTTTATTTCATACCACTCAGAGGATGGGGTTTAGAAGAAATTGAAACAAAACAGAAGAGAAAGCTGCTGAAAACCAAAATACTGTCCCAGGAAGTGTTTTAATAGCTTTGACTCTCACCCTCACTCTTCTTGAGCATTTGTTTTTTTGTGAGTACAAAAAGCCTATTTTCCTTATTCTGACATTCATTTCCAAAGCAGCCCTGTTCCTTGAGTGCTGGATGCTAATGGAGAAAGCCATTGAATCATAGAACAGCTTAGGCTGAAAACATCCTCAAAGGTCATCCAGTCCTAACCCTGGGCTATGAGCAGGTTTACCACCCACCAGATCAAGCCCCATCCAACCTGGCCTTGAGCACCTCCAGAGGTGGAGCGTCCACAGCTTCTCTGGGCTTTTCATCTGGCTTCTCATTTTGCAGTGTGAGAATTTTTCACCCTGGGTTTTGTCCACGAGACCCAGAGCAGATGTTTTCTTAAAGAGCCAACAAAGAAGCCATCACACACAGCTTCCAGTCATCTCAGCCAAGAGTTACGACTTCAGCTTTGTACAGTGTCAATTACACTTCTATTCTACTCCTTCTCCTCTCTGACCATGTAAAAATAGAACGTTGACAGCAAAATTCTGCTCTTTACAACACATGCAACAAAAATGGCCAGAAATTCATCATGGCTATCTGGCTAAATGCACAAACGCAACGTGTCCAAAGCTGCTGCTTGTATATTTTGGCCTTGACTGCAAACAAAACACCAGCAATAGCCAAGTGAAAACAGAGCAGAAAAGGCTGTCTCACCCTTGGTGACACTCGGTCATTGGACTGGCTTCTTGCACAATGAGGGATTTTTGCAGCGTGGCTGTCAACCCCATCCATGTCAGACCTTTCCCTCCCCTGATCAAAGGCTTTGGCTGATGTAAGTCGTGATGTTTCACTGAACCTGAGTGACCCAGAAGAGAAAGGACAAGAGGTGTTTTATCCAGGCTGGGATCTCATCTCCACCAGAAGGGAAACATTCATCCAGCTGGAAGGAGGAGATGTTTATTATTAGGCCATGTAAAAGTTAGCTACAATACAGAGCCAATTCACAAGAGCAATAATTCCTGGTCAAAACCATAGCCAGTTTAGATTGATTATGTATTTTTTTTATGATGTTTTACATCAGTGGGAGGATCTAAACATTTTGGTTTGTTGTAAGATGTTAGAGAAACTCAGTTCAACACGTGCCATACCCAAGGGTCTCCTTAAAATAGCAACATTACAAAGGCTTCTTTTAGTGCCGCATTCCTTCTGGGTTCATTATGCACACATTCATGGATGCAATCTGAAAGAAAAACAAAACAAAACTTAGATGTCCAAATTACCTTTGCCTTGACATAAAAAAGATGCCTGGAACAGATCTGCAGGAGAATGGAGTCCTGTGCCCTCCAGTGGGAAGAGACCAGACAAACAACAGCAGGCATCTGGACATGCAGAAGAGCTCATCTCTCTCTCAGAGGTCTGCAGAGAGGGAAAGAGTTGCCTTGCAACCTTGGCTGAGAGAACACACAATGTCTGGAGATGAATAGAGACGATAAAAGCATCTTCCTGGGACACAGCCCCCAAAAATGAGCAAACTCAGCTGTTTCTTGTTTGGCCTCGCATAAATCAGAATTTCCAATAGCGGTAGGACCTAAAAGCAGAGGGCCTGATCCTCAGCACCCAATGAGTCAGGATGAGAAAGAGAGAACCTTTTCACATGGGGAAAGAAGCGGGCAGTTTGCTTGGGAAGAGAAGTGCTGGGATGATGCAGATTGGGAAATTCTCACATGTTCTCCTCTGGTGCCTGACTGGGAGCTCCAGCCTTGGTTTAGGCCTTAAGGCATGCCAGGGGAGGTTCAGGTTGGATGTTAGGAAACATCCTTTCACCAAAGAAGTGGTGATGCATTGGCACAGGCTGCCCAGGAAGGTGGTGGGGTCACCATCCCTGCAGGTGTTCCAGAACCATGGAGATGTGGCACTGAGGGATGTGGGCAGTGGGCATGGTGGGGTGCGTTGGGGTTGGTGATCTCAGAGGTCTTTTCCAAACTTCTATTTCTATTTCTAAAAATTCTATGATTGTTTGATTCACTGTGGCTTTAGAGGGACCTCAGCCATACAGTCCAACTGCTCAGCACCCACAAGCCTGCTCTGCTCACCTCTTCTGTCCTCACTCCTATCTTGCACAGAGCCATGGGAGCTGGCTTACATCCTCTACTTGAGGAAACTCCTCTTTAGAGCTGCATTTGATGCTCATGACTCCAAAGACCTGCAGCCCTTGCAACTCCTATCCTCCCAGAAAAGAGCAACGAAGCAGACTGCTGTAATTGGATTTAGGGAATCTTATTGTATTGGATTTACTTTGTTTGTAGATAACAGGGATCCAGAAGAACATCCGTCATAGTCTTGGTGGCCATAAGATTGGGGTTCTGCTGGGCCGACTTTGAGCTGGGGCTGGAGGGAGGGAACAGTTTCCTTCTTGCACAGCTTCAGCAGTTTCTGCCTTTAATCATTAAATGATTGGATGGAGAAATTACCAGCCTAAAGACATCCCTGGCCCAGTCCCAACACTGGATACAGGGGAGTAACCAAAGTCTGGATGTCTCCTAAACCCTATCAGATCCTGTTTTATTTTACACCACCTCTGTGTAACAGAGGGAGAGGTGGGGAGTAATGCAACCTATGAACAAAACTATTGCTTCTTCTCTCTTTCCCACCCAAATAATAATAACAAAAAACAACAAAAGAGATGCTATGGGGCCCATGAAACTTTGCAGCAGAGTTGTTTGGTTTTTTTTTCTTTCCCCTCTTCTTCTCAGAAAAGACTATAGAGCCCCAGGTACACATTTGCTCAGTTTGCCCCACACTAAAACACATGCAGACACTCAGTTCCCACCAGGGATGAAGGCTGTCCCACCCCTTCAGGTTGAGCAGACTGGAGAGAAGTGAGCCAACAGCCCCCTCAAAATGAAACAAAATGAAGTAAAGCAGCAGAGGTGGAAATACCTTCCCCAGGATTCCCCTTCAAGAACCTCCTTTTTGAAACCCCTCCCCCAGGAACTATATTTGTAATCCCTACGTGGGGCATAAATTTGGGAACAGCGTGGATGAGGGGCAGTGAGGCAGACTGATGGTGTTGGGGTGGATGGGGGGGTTGGGGGGAGGGGGGAGAGGTTTGGCTTCATCGCTTTTAAATCCTTCATCCCAAACCTTCGCGTGGGTGCCCCCTTCAGCACGCATTGCCCAACCGGAGAGCAGGGGGTGGGACGGGGGGGG